CATTATTCATAACTTGGGGATATGAAGATCCGACATTATTTCGTGGGGGAGGATAGTCTGAATGTCTATGGTCGAAATTCTAGGTAGCAGTAGTTTTAGTACTCAACCGACATGATGATCATACACAATCCCAGAAATCAAATAATGCAGAGTCTTTATCCAATACATTGTCGGACAGACACAGTATGAACTTGAAAAAAAGACGTACAATTGATTACAGACACCTGGACTCCAATTTAAGCTGTGGCAGATGTGGTGTTTGAATGTACTAATAACTCCTTTTGTACTTGTTGAATGCCTGATTTCGAATTCTAAATACAATACATTCGTTCGCGCTTATCTAGTAGTTCTTGATCCACTTACGTGATTTCTGTGATTATTAGTTCATACTATAATTCAAATACTTCTAATTATCATATGTTTTGAAATCAACTGGTCAAGCTAGATGAACAAAAGACCACTAAGGATGCTAGGTTGCTCATACCGATTAAACGTTATTGGTTTGGCACAGTTCCAAGATTAGATAAGTCATATTTCGATTGGTCAATAAGTCACGTGATCACTGACCAACTTTAAAGACAAAAAAGGGAAATAAAAGGTGTATGATATAATTTTTGTTTCCATCACTCCTAAAGTTTAAAATGTTCCGATACACCGACAAAGAAACAGTTGAGTGATGATAAATTAATACAGAAGTTAATGATAATTCACTGACAGGTAAAATGAGTTCATATACGTATAATCCCTGTAGATTATAACCCAGTGGATCCTTAGTTCGTGAATGGGATCGTAAATGCATACTGCTGAGCAGTCCTACAATAGGACGAAATGGCCGTCCAGTGCTTTCAGGTTTTTCATGGTGGTCTAGCTTAAATTAACTCATGATCTCAACAATTGAAATAGTTAGAATACTTAGTGAAAATATTAAAAACATTGAACTATGAATCTTCAAAAGAGAGCCTATGTCGTATTCAAAGAATATATTTCGAAACAGCATAAGATCATATGGATTGGAAGCATTCAATAGTGTCATCCCAAGACATCTCCTTAACACAGGATACGAAGTCGATACACTGAAGTCATTCAAAATGATTAACAAATAATCAAACTCAAACCTTTAGAAATTGACCGAAGCAATAGCAACCAAACGTCTGAAACCAAATCTATGTATACAAAAAGAGGCAGTGATAAATCATTCTTTGTCCTGGTGTAGTGGTAAATAAATCCCCAAAATAAATAGCTCTGTAAGTTTTCGACATTGGATGATGACCACATTAGTTTTAATGGACTCGTCTAGCTGAAGGCGCTTGGTTATGCATCTGCACCAGATCACATGTGGGAACGCCATGCTCAACATCTACTGCAATTGCTAGCCAGATTAGATCAGACGATCCTCGATATAATGATAGCTTATCAAATATATCTTTGGACCTCCTCGCTTCTGTCTTTTGATTTCACTTGATGGGTAAGATTCATATTAGAAGGTGTTACTGGTTGAAGCGTTGTCAAACTACGAATACCTGTGTTATCTTCACTGGTAACAATACCCCCCTTTTGTTTTTATTTATTTATTACATCATTCATTATTCCAACTCTTTCTGAAGTTTAACATTACATCATTCATAACTGACTGATTTCAATTGATATATTTCTTAATTACCATTCATCTGTTTTCAGTTGTCTCATTACACAATCATCTAATGTTTATTAACTGTATAAGTTCAAATCACTCGTTCAATGTTCTGGAACTTTCCCTCCCAAACAATCACTAATAACCTTATTAACTTTATTGAACTCTTGACTACATCATAATACACATATATTCATCAATAATCACCCCTCTTATGATATAAGTATGTCAATATCTGTAATCATCTGATGAGAACCTTATTTTATTTATTATTTATTTATTTTAACGCATAAGTATAGGTACAGGGAGGCACCAAATACATATGCGCCACACGAATCTCAATTGATTTGTGTGAAAGCTGTGATACTACCCGGGCGCCGAAACCGAAGCAGGTGGTTTTCTAAAGGGGCCACACCCCGAGCCTTTGACCTAAAGATCTGATCCACAAGGCAGTGGAGCATCGTGAGGAGATGCAGTCCCATGGTAGCCGGTAACCAACGATTGGTTCATACGCCATTTGTTCCCGCAGGATACTGGAGCCCATGTGCACCATTGGTTTTGGATCCGGTTACAGCCGGTGCCGGACATTCGCTTTTCGTCCTCTCATTTTCGTAAACAACACCCGTGGTGTGAGAAGGCAGTGAGTAGGACTTCCCTGGCAGAGGCTATATACGCATGGCCATGTGAGAACATTTCGAGAGGTTGAGAGGACTCTCCCCACTCTCGGCTGTACCAGGGCATTTGGGAGCCTTAATGAAATAAAATAAAATCCATTTGTTGTTCTGAACAATTAACATAACAGATATCTTATGAAGTATTTTATCATTCATGAATTGATAATATGGACTCTAGTTTGAATAAGTTGCACAACATCCCAGATATTAAATGTTGATGTCAGATTGTTAAAGATAGTTGGCAGGATATCTTGAACCAAGGTTTCTTGATAGCTGGTATTTGTTACTAAGATGTATCAGAACTATTAAGAGAATTGATTCATCCTGAAAAATTCTACCCAGCTTCATAGTTTGGATTGTTACTGTTGAGCTATTCTGTTTAAGACTGACTTACTGTAGGATTGAGATATTTATGTCTCAGTTTTTAGTGATTAGTGACCAATCAGATTTTATTTTAGTTGTTTGATGTTGATCAAACTTTATTCACATGAAGCCAAAATGTAACCACTAGTCTGAATGAATCTATATTGTATGAATTGTGTCTTAATATTGTTTGTTTAAGGTGTTATTAGAGTTGGCTATCCATTCTGCTTTCATTGAATACTTTTGCATTTATCTCTCTTTTTGAAAACCGTACCTTCTTGGTAATATATATATATATATATCTTGGAAATGTCGATTTACGGGCATGATCAATTCGACAAAGATGGTAAATTTAAATGTAGAGGGCAAAAATGTGATTTCAACTTGTTTGAAATGACATCATTCAAAAACAATGTGAAGGTAGTACATTATCTATTACATGAATTAGACCATCTAAGACATTAGTTGGAAATCATTAATTCTATGTAAGTATACATTATATTTAATAATATATCAACCATGTACAAAGAATTTGACCTTTGATCTACTTACCTTATATCATATAGTTAAATAACTAGAAAAAGCAGTCATTCAATAACAACGTAGAACTTCGTATATACGTACGTACGTACGTACGTACATCAGTTCAAGCTGCCATACCACATTAGCACAGTGATACAATTGTCGATTCAAATCACATAGTGGTAGAAGTAGTAAAAGTATAAGCAGTAATCAGAAACATTAGGGTTTGAATATGTTATTCAATTAGTATAATCTAGTGAAATAAATTTGGAAATAGAAACGAAAGGGACATGAAGAACACAGAAGATTAGAATTTGGGAGAACACAGAGTGTTGATGCACCTGAGCTATTGCAAAAGATTTTGAGCCATGTCATTTAACATCTTTAACCATCGGTTGCTATCATCTTGCGGTCCACAACGAGGTAGTCTACACCTACCAACATGGCTCACTCAGTCCACTTGTTAGTGACTTTATGGATATGTCTCATGTTTTTGTCTGGCCGCCCCTAGCTTTCTTCCAACTTACTCCTACACTATAACACATTGCACGTCGGTGCAATCGTTGATTGGGCATACGTAACACCACTAAAAATGTAATGTAATTACCTTTAGATATTTTCTATCTTAATAAATAATTTATCTTTAATAGTGTCTCGTTTGTGAATTAGCTTCAAGTGAACGAGATTCCTCATGAAAAATTGTCGTGTGCTTAGCATAATATGATAGACTATGTACTGAAACCCATACTCCTTGAACAATTCCTCTTAATAACTTTGGTTTTTGAATAATGTTGTTTATCACTTCATGTAGAAGGATAAACAATCACATCCATTGAAACCTGCCTTATGTATTCAATTAGAGATGGTTATTATTCTTTCCTTGCCTTAGTGACAAATATTCCTTCGCTACATCTTAAAACTTTTTTCTTTTCCTTTAAACTCTTTCTTGAATTTATTACATCATTGGGTTTTATTTCAACTATCTTCCAAATTAACAATCTTATTTTATCAACTGAGCTCTATGTACCTTATTTCTATCAATATTTACTCATTATTTAATCACTTATTTCTAGCCGTTTGAATTGTCGTCACAATCAATGTTGCAGAATGTTCTTTCATATAAGGTACAAATTTACAATATTCGAAGAATTGCTTGTATATTCTGGGACCACCGAGTAAGTTATGCAGTTGTTAGGAAACGGGTACTCGGTAAGCATGTAAAATAAATTGATGGAGTAGTGAAATTTCATCAGTTGAGATGGCTGGGACAAATCTTACGTATGCTTAATCACTGAGTGCCCTGATGTGCAGGTGCATCCACACTCTGTGTTCTCCCAAATTCTAATCTTCTGTGTTCTTCATGTCCCTTTCGTTTCTCTTTCCAAATTTATTTCACTGGATTATACTAATTGAATAACATATTCAAACCCTAATGTTTCTGATTACTGCTTATAATTTTACTACTTCTACCACTATGTGATTTGAATTGACAATTGTATCACTGTGCTAATGTGGTATGGCAACTCGAACTGATGTAGGTACCTGCGAAGTTCTACGCTGTTAATGACTGACTGACTGACTATAAAATTTATTTACACCCTTGCTATACCATACTACTACGTCTGTAATACAACTTCCAATCGAACCCTGTCATGTAAGTTATTTAAACTCATTATATAATTGTGACTTTTAAATATCCCAGGCTGTAAGCAACTGACAAGAACCAAGCGAAATAGAATGAATTCCTGATATTCTATTACAATCTTTGTTCTTGATCTTTTTAAAACAGTAATCATTAAATTTAAACTTACTGTATTATTTTCTGTTATTTTTGTTATATTCGCAATTGAAAATTGATCTTGTAATTGTTTTAATAAGCAATGACCTTGAGATATTAAATCCGCGAAATTCAAACATGATGCATTATTTTTCATATTATCTATAAAATAATTGGCTGTTTTAATTATACCAAATTTATAAGATAAACGTCTTAATAAAATCATTAATTCTGGTGTTGTTATTATAATATTTGATTGATTAGATAATTTATTATATTTAAAATAATCATGAATTGATAAACACTGTAAATGATTCAATTGATGATATAAAGAATCCATGAAATTTGATTGAAGTCTTTGATTAGGCAATAATTTGATTACAAGATGATGTAATAAGATTGTTGAATTTTTTTCTGCTTTTATACATATATAAAGAATCAATTTTGTACTTTATTGTTGTTTTGTTTCTAAGGGGTTGTTTATTGGACAAGGGTGGTAGAGTTTTATGTTGAAAAGTACTTTACAAGTACAGGAGAATATTGAGAGGATAGAAATCATCTGACTATATTGAATAAGCAGTCAAGGTATTTTAATTGATCATTTGTTATCATATGGTAGTTTATAATGTGAACAATAACAAAAATTTAAAGAACGTTCAAAGATACAAAAGTAGTGAAGTATTATTTTTAAGATTTGATTGTTTCATATTGGTATTCATTGATATAGACCGATAGGTCCTGGGTTCGAATCTCACGGGAGGCGGGGCTGTGGATGCGCACTGTTGAGGAGTCTCGCAATAGGTTTTAACGTCCGTCCAGTGCTTCCAGGTTGTCCATGGTGGTCTAGCTTTAATTAACTCATGATCTCAACCACTGAAAAAATTTCCTATTTTATAGTCTTATGTAATCCGGTATAGTGGTATGTAAAGTTACATAGGATTATGATAAATTACGAAAGTTTGGCTATTGAATTCTCTTTTAATGTGAGGCTGAAGATCGAGGAAAACTTGCAATTCAATGGACCAATAGGATTGTAACTTACATTGATTGAAGGTTAACTTTACAAATGAGAACGTATAATTGGCCATGTTTAGGAAAATTACAATCGGAATTCTGATTGGTAAATTTAATACATAATATCAATAAAATCTCGAGATATATCAAGTGAATTTTTGTCTGTAAACAATTTCAAAGATAAATTTTCATTATCAAACATTAATAACCTTTGAAGACGTCTGATAGAACATTAATATGGAATGGCAAAAAAGAGAAAACATAAATCTATATAACTGACAATTGATATTATCCCTGTTATACAAGTTAATATCTAACTTGACTCAGGTTTTTAGTTGATACAGTGATCTTAGTTACCAAAATTCGCTATATAGTTAGTTTCTTCTAATATGGAACTCACTCAATAGCGCACCTCTATGACTCCACAAAAAAGGATATAACCTAAGACATTTCAGTCTCACCAAAAACACTTAGCCTATAAACCATTAAGCTAGCTTCCAATCGTTTATATTTGCAACATGAATCAAATCGCGATGTTGGATAGTTGTCTTTTGATAGCCCTATATCTGTCTTCAGGTAGATCGTACGAATGATTGTAAATGAAATATAAATGTCCATGTTGCTATTGTATTGACTTCGATTAATGCGTCGTATTAGAGGATGAGTCGTTTGAATCGGCTCGTTCGCCTCCTGCGTAGCCCAATACTTCTTTTTGCTTCGCTTTGCGGTCAACGGTTATATAAAATATGCGGATTAAAAGTTCATTCCCACTCATCAACGCGATTTAAGTCGAGAAGATGCTGCAAACGATCTACCTGGAGTCAACTTATGGACCACTGAAGTCTCTCAATGATATTAGTGGGTAGCTGGAAAAATGAATCCTACTAGACATAGCTTTTGGCTAGAGCTGTAAGAGCCACTTCTTAAAGTCAATTAAGTATCTCCTGTTTTCAGTGGTAGGCCAACTAAAAACACTATGTGAAACAATCTGTAAAAATGAGTGGTTATTGTTCAATCAAATACGTTATGTTTTCTCGATACATTCTAAACGAATAGTTGGCCTATACCACTTTTATATATCTCTAATTGTGAGAAATTCAGTTTATGAATGCATATTATCATATCTCTTAATATTATATGATTGACTCAATTTGATATTTAAAGCGTATTAGCTGTATAATAAGTTCGGTTTGAAATTTATTCTATATGTCCTGTTAAATCTTAAAAATAAATTGATAGGCACTTGTTTTACTTTACATCGTTTAGACAAAGATAGTTTATTTCTGAACTCCTAAATTATTCTTGAGCAATAAAGTCAAAATATTGAGTGTATTGCTTTGAAGACCTACAAGGACGCTATTGCTCATATCTTCGAAAGGAAACGTTTTTAAGAACAACTTGACTCCAGATGTATGTGATTTCTAATAATTTCGTCTGTTACTGATATCATCCAACGACGTTTGTCTTTGGTATTTGAATAATAAAGCGGAAACCACTTTTAAATTCTTTCTTTACTCCAATACATACAATATCTATGTCATCAGCTTTCATAAGCCGATTAATTTCTTCGCGTTTACCACTTGTTGTTTCGGTGCAGTTCTAGGTATTTGTTCATTGACCTAGGAAAGAACACAAAATTATTTGAAAAGCTTTCCCTCAGTAGAGTCTTGCAAAAATTTGTTTCATACTTCAAAATTTTACGTCACAGACTTCAGAGCATTTTTCATTACAAACGCTATGTATGTCATTTTTAAAGGTGTGTAAGAACTATTGATTTGAGTTTACTTACGAACAACTTATGAATTTTGGTAATCCCTAACGATATTATGTGCATGTCTGAACCACTTTGTTTTACATTCATCGGAACTTAACGCTATCTCTCAGGATGCTCGTCAATAACTTGAAATCACTTGTTCCCATTTGTCAATTTGAAACATCTGACCACTCAACAAATAGTATTCTTGTCTTCTTTTGCTTGTAAAAAAATATCAGTCCATGACTAAACTCCTGTGTGGCAAGTCTAGCTGATTCAGGGGACCGATATTTTTCCTATTGCTGAAAATATAACAACTAGTTAGCCATTCACTCCGGTATACAGGACCAGTAGAATGGTTACAAGAACCAAGTGAGCAGCTTGCTAGGACGTTCCATCATACAGTTTTGATTGTAAGTGTTAGTAGGGCTTTATAATGTACTCTTTTTTAGTTTCTCCTGACTTCTCTTTTCAGACAACGCCTTCTAAGCATACTTTTTTCTTTACATACGTAGCACTTTCCTATTACAATACGAATAACTTGTCCTAATCCCAACCCGAATACAATGCATCTTCACATTTCATTGCTTTTATTTTGTTAGTTAACCCATTTGTGTAGAATATTATCTGTAAACACATCTAGTAATTTTTTAAGCTTTTTTCTATTATTCATGACCTATTTTCCTGTTTTACAATCTACCAAACACAGTATTTAGCTTCCGTGCTTCATCTGTAGTTTCTTTGATGACAGTTTCATACTAATGATAGTTATTGGTTTGAGTTTTACCTGCAAACTGAACATAACCTTTCTTGTTTCAGTGTCAACAACTACTTATCGCTATTTTCCCGTCTCCATTCTCACTGCTGCTATTGTAACACGCAAAGATAGAGCTTTTACTCAAACGTGGACCATATATGCGTGTAACAGGTTTCTTCCGTCGCAAACCGCTGACCCGAGAGAAAGCGGATCCTTTAAATTCACTACACAAGTTAGGATTAACGTGATAGCGACTCACTTTATCAAGCAGCAACAGACCACTATGCTCCTCTCCTTTTCGCTCATGAATCTATAATCAAAACAATCAATATGCGTTCATCAATGTCACAATTCATGTGGCATGTCATTTTGTACATTTCATAAGGATCCGCTCTGCTACCACACAATCTAGTTTTGTATCTGCCTGAACACCCTGTGGTACGGTTCTACTGATTTTGCATTTTCAGTAACTCTACTTGAGTAGCACCTCATTTTTAAATCCATGTCTGAAATTGTTTAGCAGACCTGCAAGTGCGGTTCTAACCTGCCGTGTCGGAAACCAATAGCATTTAATGGACCAAAGCTGGAATCTGAAGATGAAGAATATTGATAAACAGGACATGAGAGTATTGAGGAAGTCAGGTAAGTAAGCTGGTATATGAGGTGAAACAGCGAACCATTATCTCATAGAAAGTAATCAAAGAAAGTCTTACGCCTACCCATACACACCCATCTACATGCATAGGGATCTTACACAGATACATAATGAGAAGAAGAAAGCATATAAAAAATTTGCTACGCAATCCTAAAAAACTGAAGTCAAGTCCAAACACTACTATCGACTTCAATTACTAAGAAAAAAGAAAAAAACTCTTAATAAATATCAGCTCTGGGTCTGAAAGTGGGTAGTTCCCGACACCGCTAAAGTCTTGAGCGTGTACTTTTAAACTGGCTGTATAAGATGCCTAGAAAGTGTTGACAAAAGGACAACAGAAAAAGTATGGAGCGGTATAAAAAAGAAATTACACATGACCCAGATAGATATAGGAAAAATATTGAAACTTAGCAATCTGGTCACGACGAAGTTAGCCTTGTAATATTGAATAAGCTCGCGGAATTCCCCATACATCTGTTAAACAACCTATCGCAACGCGCATTTGATTATAAGCGGCTGTCAGGTTAGAGCCCAAATATCTAACTTTCTCTTTGTTAATGAACTACCTATAGAACCGAGCATTCCGCACCAAGGTAAAGTGGGTGAGGCGAAACTGTTTAGTGCATATTTTGGGTTACTTAGCGAATAGTACTGGACTTTTTGCGATGCCTCATATTCATCAACGACCTATTAGTCATCTCCAATTCATCAACTATTATCTATGCAGGCAAAATTAACCTGAACTACTATCAGTTATGAAGGGGACTCACCAGAAATTTGAAGATATCTGACGTTGCCTTGGGAATGAACAAGAAAGCTTTTTCAGATACTACCCTAGACCTATACTTTCCTATATCTCGAAACTTACAACGTTCTTGCAATCTACCCCCTCAAAAGGCTTATGAATTACATAGAGCATACATAAAATCGTTCAGCGAAGTTCACTGTATGAATACGGTGAAAACCCTATGAAGTCTGTTTTCACCCATCGATATTATACTAGGTAACAGAATATTGCAAGACGACCTGATAGTGGTGTTTTTTTAGACTGATATCTAATTCGGTATTAAATACATATATTCTTGATGCAAGAATAATAGGCCTAATCCAAAAATCGCAAAGTTCATATGATTTGACTTCCTAATCTACAATATCTAACGTGCAAGTTACTTTATTGTCTATACTGACTCGTCTTAACTGACGACTACATGTATTAAATTTAACATTTCTGATGAACACATACGGGCTGAGGATAGAATAATATATTTAATATGAAAAGGAAGAAGCAACTGACAGCTACCGTACATGCATAGCCAAGCCATGACATAGCAACTAAATGTTTCCGTGCTTACAAATTTTCCAACGTAAATTTTGGGTATATATCTTGCCGGTTATCGTGCATTCAGTCTCAAAGATCATGTGCTTAAGGACCAGAAACACTGCATTTCTCTCCCATTAGAGTCAACGTGATTTAAGTTGGATACAAAGTAAGTGGGATTATCTTTTGCTTGCTACCAAGAGAAGAAGGATTTTTCAGGTATTGAGAGAATGAAAGGTACATCAAAAAGAAACCAGCATCACTTGATCGGAGATGATGATTTCTAAATTTTTGGCTTTATTCTCAATAGCACTGCATGTTCGCCGTACTAAGTACTTAAGGTCAGTCCAGTAACAAAATTCTACCAAAACCTCAACAGTGCATTTCAAAAGACAACCTATAACGAATCGCACGTGAAAGTGATGTCCAGAAAGTGCTCGCTCATGTCTCGAAACTTATCACTATCACATCTTTGTAATCGTAGTAGTCCAATCCATTCATATCAGATATCACAAATGAAAAAGTTCGAAGATATATGTGAAAGGCTATTGATATGTCGAGAAGCGTTTAGTGTAAGCTAGCTAATTGTCGTAAGATATGAGCCGCACTCACTCATGATCTGATGCGGATGCGTGACCATGCGCTTTCAGCCAGATGTTTCCATTAAAATTATTGAGGTCAGCATCAAGAATTATGGAACTATTTATTTTGAGTGTCTGTGTGCCGCTACACCATGATTGTTTCCATCGCTGCTGTTGCCATCTTCAGCTTATTTTCACCAAGCTCAGTCTTAACCACCCATATTTATTTGTTATTTTTAGACATTTGTTTATTTATACCGACTACGTAGCCAAGTTGTTCACTTCTTTTGACGACAGTTTCATCGTCGCTTCTCTTCGTTCCAATTTCGTGATTTTTTTTAAGCCCTTTGAAATAACCTCATAACTGGTAGTGCGAAAGCTCCTTCATCAATGCTCGGATAATATATACAGCCAATAAATTTAAAATCCACTATGATTAGAGCCACTGAGTGCCCAGACTGCTCAGGGCTGACAACACTAAAGACCTCTAGCTCTACACTAACATGAAGGAGTAAGAGTAAAGAAATTATTTGGTTCGCTTAAGCATTGTAATGAGATATTGAATACTGGATATTGTACAGGTGTTCTCGACATGCGCCAAGATCAAATGAGACGTTGACGTTATTTTTAAATTATGACAATTAGGCTGTAAAACATGGTTAGTAGGAGGCGTATAACTGTATCTGGCGATCACAAGCCCGAAGTAAGATATGCTGACCTTCAGTCAACTTCTCAGGAACAGTCATGTTGGTCCAAACCCACTGTTTATCATGCTGCCATCGTGATATTCTTAGAGTTCTTTGCCTTTGGATTGTTAACTACCCCCATGATCTCGGTATATCCCAGTTATATTACCATTTATACGTTACAGGTTTTAGATGAGACATTTCCCAAACATACCTTTCTAATGAATGGTATCATTCATGGAGTAAAAGGAATATTATCCTTCCTTAGTGCACCATTTCTAGGTGCTCTCTCAGACATGTTTGGACGAAAACCTTTCCTACTGCTAACAGTAACTTTCACTTGTTCTCCAATACCACTGATGAAAATCAGTCATTGGTGGTATTTTACAATGATCAGTATATCAGGTATTTTCTCAGTGACATTTTCATTTGCTTTGGCATACGTCGCTGATATCACATCAGAAGAAGATAGAAGCTGGGGATATGGACTAGTAAGTTCGGACATAAAAATACAACTGGTAACTTTTCCACACCGAAGTTAATTGTTCAAAAAATAGGTTTTCTGTTCGTGCACAAATACCGTATCAATTTGAAGGTTTTAAGTCTGTAAAACTACATTTCTTGACGAAACAGGTAGTGGACTAAAATCTTCGATAGTTAGTTGTGTTTTGAATAAGGTTTTTGATAGCTAACACTTTTGCCCTGCCTTTTTGGTTTATGTAGTTTGAACTGTTTGTTCTCAATCAGTAGCGTTATTTGACATGTTCGATTTTAGCCTTAATTACCCAATGGAAATATGGGTCAATAAGATATAAAAGACGGATTTCGCAGTCTAGGAGTTGTCCATGCTCTTTTAATTAACCCTTAAAGTATAGCATTTCAGTGTACCACCTTTGTACGTTTATTATTTGTAACTAGTTTATACACTAACTCGTAATGCGAATACTTTGCTAATAAGTTACTATGATCTGTGGTGAATTGTTTCGTGTATTAGCTTATTGTTTAAAACCATCTCTGCGACTGACATTTCAGCTGATAGTGGTGTCAATCTCTGCTATTGCTGTGCCAACGATGCAGAAAGAATAAAGCCTATCAGCCCTTTATTTGCTTACTTTGTGTATGGCACTGTTTGTCTGTTTGCAGCTTCACTATTTATTTCATGTATTCGATCACTTAAATTTAGACCTATTATTAATATTTTCTGTATTTGACCTCAACGAGTTGGACATTAGTCATTAATCGATTTACAGTATTTCAGGATGTTGCATCACAGCCCTCACACAAATCAATTGAGATTCGTGTGGCGCATATGTATTTGGTGCCTCCTTGTACCAATACCTATGTGTTAAAATAAATAAAGGATGTTGCATACACCTGCTTGACTTCTTAATTCCAGTTTCTTTTATTATTTTGAAGACTTTCTGGTGTTACTTACAGCCGCTGCCTTTTCCATTTCTTTTACTTTCTTTGCCCACCACTGTTCACGGTCGTTCCTTGAACTCCTGGTTAACCTAGATCTTATGTGTTTTCGTTCTTCATCGTGTTCAGAACCTGATGGGATGAGTTTACGAGAATCTGTCAGTGCAATAAACTTAGTAGAAATCCATTGGTTTTTCGTAACCCTTTGAATTAAATCACTGATAGACGTCACTGCTGTTCGTATATCTTTCCATGCGTTATCTAGGTCAGCCTCGTTTGCAGAACTACTTTAGTATGACCTCAGTTTTTCCTGGAATCTACTTTTAGCTTTCTCGACACTGAGTTCAATTCTAGTGGGTCTTCTTAGTGTGATTTTTCTGCATCTAGTAAGGCACAAGCGAATGCGTGGTCGTATTGGAGCATGATCGGAGTCTAAACAGGTACTCCAGAACGAGTAACATTCTTCTATCGAGCCACTCCAACGATGATCGATGGCAATATGGTCTATTTGAGTCCATCGTTGATTTGATGTAAGGGGTCGACATGTTAGGCGATGTCTCTCCTTATGCTTAAAATTAGTGTTTTCTAAGAATAAACATGTGTCTGAGCACAGTTGCAGCAGACGATCACCATTATCTGTTCGCTGTGCTGGAATACCAAAAATACCCACCTAAATGTCTTTTTGTTTGCTTTAACCAACCTACCTGGGCATTAAAGTTACCTTCTACGAGTACTATGTCTGAGCGTTTAGTGTTATAAAGAAGTATAGAAAGCTTTTTGTAAAAGTCATCTTTCACTTCATCTGGGCTGCAGTCGGTGGAAGCGCAGGCAGAAACGACGAAAAGGTAACATGTTTCCTTATCCTTCCGAGTTCTTACGTAGCCGTTTATTGTCCACACCCGCCAGTTCACGGGAACTTCCATCGGGTCGCCAGATACACGGAGGATGTATCTCGTCGGCTCTCCGTTTTGGCTGAGGTCAAGTGAATGACCACATTGGAATCGTTTATGTGTGCTTCGAAGATACAACATACATCAATCGTACGAGATTCAAGGGTCTTAGCCAAGGTGGCCCGCTTGCCGATTTGACATAGGGTGCGTACGTTGAATACTCCAATGTGTAATTTGAAGCGAGGTTTTAGTAGACCTGGGACTGTGTTTCGCCTACTAGAATCGTTGGCCATGGTGACACTTCAGGAGGAAGTTTTAAGTTCAAAGTCGAGGTAGGAGGAATAGTAGGAATTGAAGAGGGAGACTGATTATAAAATATTTATTTATTTGAACACAAATATTGGTGCAAGGGGAACTGAATACATATATGCCACACAAGTCACTTGATTTGTGTGTGGGTTATGATACTGCCCAGGCGCTTAAGCCGAAGCGGGGGGTTTTCTTTGGGGCAACACCCGGAACATTCGACCTAAAAGTCTGATCCACGAGGCAGTGAAGCAACATAAGCAGGTGCAGTGTCATGTTACTCGGTGACCAATAATTGGTTCACACGCCATTTGTTCCTTCAGGATCCTGGTACCCATGTACACCATCGGTTTGCAACCAGGGTTTTCACTTCCCAGTTGCCCACACCATGGAAAGGTTCTCTTGGAGGTACCTGAGAAGGAAAGTGTGTTGGAGGTGGTCTTTGTGATCTGAGAACGTGGCCGCGGTGCCCAAGAGACAGCTGCTTGAAGTCGGTTACACACGACCTTTTTATGAGTAATTTTTGTGTTAGCTCCGTACGTGTTGAGTCCTTTCCGCCGGAGACGGATATCCGTGGGGTAAGGCGACGTGTGCATTTTTAGGGTTGACCTTTTCTAACCCCACCATTCGTTGTGGGAAAACAGCATCGCTGTCATGCTGGTTGTCTAAAGGAAACACCTTACTGCTGTCACACCTCTGTACAGTCAGCGGTAAGACTTCGCCTTCGGACCTTGGATTTATTGCGTTTATTCTTGCCGTTCTTCAATCGACCTGTCTGACATGGTAGGACTTCGAGGAACGATAGTTCCAGCCAGTATAGCTCTATTGTTTCATCACGATAGGCCGACCACCACGTCAAGCGATTGTTGCATCCATTTACATGTCTTATATGTCAGTTGTGGTATAAATATACCAGTTCGGTATGGAATGCTGGTCGTTATCGTACTGCACATTATACAGAACTTGAGAGACTCAGTTTCTTAGGACTGGTTGGATTTCACCGAAGTGGTGAAAATCTGACGTTAGTCTATTTTTCAAGACCTAATTAGGTCAGTTCCGCGCTACCTCCGAGTCTATTATATTCTACAGCTCACTGTGCAGCTGTAGTTGTCTCAAACGGATTGCTAGCATTATGTGACAATATACATATATGTCGCTGAAGTCAAGCAGTTCATTTGTTGAGCTACTGGAGACCATTAATCACTTGGTCGTGTCATCTTAAACACTTCCCAGATTATCTAGTAACTATAAAACATTGATTTTTAGACCAAGGGCTATTAGCCAGTTTTGGGACTGAATAATGGTCAGTTAACAATAACTCAGCATAAGACATTGGATGGGTATATAAGGACGTATCAGTGTAGTAACTTGGAACATCATCAGGTATTGCTTAGTTTAGAAGGCAGTCATTATCCCATCGTTATTTTTATGTTTTTCATAAACAGTAAGAGGAGTTTGAATAATCGTTCTTTTCATTCTGGGTACGAATAAGCAACTCTCCCTCTTGTATTTGATAAAACCACCATTATTTTATGTAGCCCATTTAGTAAGTTCACAGCTGTCCCAAGCTATTTTATCAATAGATCTAAGTAATGATGACATAGAATCATGTTATTTATAAGACCCTGCCCAGAGAGTCAGTGATATAGCAATAGTCGGCCAGGACCTTCATTTCACACCAGGCATTCAGTCTAAACAACTTAAGATCTGGCACAATGTGTACTAGCACAAGCAAGATGGGATTGGTACGATATATAGCAAAGACGTTGAATTTATGTTTCTCATCCATATGGAAAAGACTAAACGTGAAGAGCTTAATCTGAAAAGAAGTAAATCCCTAGACTGAGAATTCTAATGTGATAATAAAATCAAAAGATAATAAATTACATGTCATCTACGCTGCAACCGATTATGTACCATATCAACCAACGTTTTTAACCACTACCTACCGAATCCCAAACAAAAGGTCTGCACATGCTGACATGGTCCAAACTAACATTCTATAACCACGATTTAATGTCATGTCTCGGTCTGGTCTCCTCTAACTTTCACCCTACTCCGTCCCTAACAATTATTGTACGTTGAGGTCGTTGATGGCCAAGTATGTATAAAATTTGTCCCATTTGCCTTTGTCGGTGAATGCTTATGTCCTCATCAACTCGCCATTTTTATCAAGTGCCTTACTTTTGATTCAGGCACCACTCCATCATAGAGGAATAATCTTCAATAGACATCTACAACCAACTACTGGTAAAGCACGTATATGTTTCAAAACCACAGACGAACACAAACAATTGCTGTCTAGTGTACTTGGTCGTCATAAAAAAATTGGTATGCCCGCCTATAACACAACTGGCCAGAGTTTCCGTAGGTTAAGGGGATTTTTGAGTACGTCGAGATATTTCCAGGTTGAGTAGAATCATTTGTGCACCAGGCTACTATCCTCATTATGAGACTAAGCTCTAAAAGATCACTACTAAAGCAGCTTTTCGGTTTAGAGATGTAGAAACCTATTTCAAACACTAGCGTTGTTACTCTGGGTATTAAAAAAACAGCATTTTTCTCGTCTCCAAAATGGACTATGTGATTCCCATGCATTCTCCAAGCTGATAAGTAAGTCTCATAGTACGTGATCGACTTCCAAAAATTTAGGTGAAGTATCATTACTAAAAGTATGTCCATGACGAAAGTAGACAACCGCGAAGAACATTATCCTAATCCAGCTGAAAGTTAGCCATAAGCTCTGACTCGACTAGTAGTATTCAAATGAAGAGTCTCGGGTCTGTGTATTCATGTTTATGCTCGCGCTCTAAATCCCGCTGGCGGGCGTGGACTCGATCGACAAATTTTTGATCAGTAATAAAACCTTATAATTCTCTTATGTTTATCGTTCTGAAGCTCTATTTAAGAGTCAAATAACTATAGGACCTAATATTTTAGAAATTATGTTGGTGAAATCGGTTCAACTAAGGTTTTCTCTAGAGGATTACTGTTATTTCTTGTAAACTGGGACAATAAGCGATTCTGGCAGTCAAATGAGATTTTATCTTGCTCCTAAACTCGAGTAATTATTTCAAATATTATTTTAGTGACAGTCCTGGTGCACCGTTCATAAAGATTCTGGAATCTACCGGTCAATTTTTGGTGCCCGTACTCGCTTAAAAGTGTGGTGACTTATGTCAACCCATCATTTCTGTTATATCCTATTGAAGATTAAGTTACGGATAAATTCTGAGAACTATTAATGAACTAATATTATTTATATATTACTATCGTATAACTATTCAGTAACTAGATTATAGATATATTATAAGCGAGAAAACAGTGATCATGACTTCCGTGGCAGTGGTTATACGCACGTGGTCATGTGAGAGCATTTCAAGAGGGAGGGCTGACTCTCCTCACTCTCGACCACATCAGGGCATTTGGGGTCATTTATTATCCACTTGTTTAGTTTTCTCTACTATCAAATCAATTTTTATTTTCAATGTATTCAAAACGATGTAATTATATAGATATTTACATCCTTTTTCTTCCTCTCTTTAACAAAGGTTTCAGCTACATTTGCCGCCAGTCTTGTCAGTTCACCTGCAATTGGAGCTTATCTAGGTCGTGTATATAGTGAAGAATTAGTTGTTGCACTAGCTACTGCTATTGCATTTTTGGACATTTGTTTTATACTTGCTTGTGTACCTGAATCTTTATCGGAAAAAGTACGTATTGGTCATTTGTGCTCTGTAACTACATTGGGTGGACCAGTTGGTAAATTCTCATGGGGTAAAGCTGATCCTTTTGCAGTAAGATTATATTCTTTTTATTATACTTTAGTACTTCTATTATTATTATTATTATTATTCCACAACCTTATATGGAGTCCTTTTTTAGCAGAGATCCTAATAAAAGTCGTCTCAAAACCTGTTTCCATTTTTGTTATTATTCGTTAACAAGGTATAACTGCGAGTTTATTAAAATGTATTCAAACTGTGCATTTACAAACTACATGATTTAGTGTCAAAATTTGATATTAAAATGGTATGGAGCAAGGTAAAATTTCCTTCCAATCAACTTCTATCACTGTCTTACATAATCGTACTGTGTTAATCGGATTTATTCATGTTTATTACTGGATGAGATTTCATCAAATGAATTTATTTTTGTTTTCCATTGGGGATTTTTCGTAAACAAGTTGTTTACCAGTACTGTTAGTGGTATGTGGACGGTTCTCATCTCTTGGATGTTCATACCATAGAAATATACTTCTGGTTATGGTACTTGAGGAACAAACAGTATTAGTAGTGATTTTGGATGCCTGTAAGCATAATTAGAGTGTTTAAAAGATAGATGTTTGAAGTCAGTTACACACGGCTTTTTTGTGGTTAGTGCTTGATATGTGTTATCTCACTTTAAAAGTTTTACCCCAGCAGATGGAAATCTGTAAGGGTAAATTAAAGTTTGCTTTTCTTATGACCGGCCTTGTCTAACTCACTCCTTCCGTTGTGAGAAGGCATCATCACTGCACATATTGATTGTATGAGGGAAATATCTTGCTGCCGTCAAATCCCTGTACAGTCAACGGTTCAAATATTTCCTTGAATCCTAAGTTGCTGCCATTCCATGTTAAATATTGAATTCATAATGTGCATAATGTTTGTTGTTAAATGAATACTGTATGAACATAAATTGTAGTGACGTCATAGTTCACAAAATATTACGTTTCTAACCAAGTTTAAATATATGTTGCCCTATGTACATCACTCTGGCCTGCGTCAACAGTTGAACTAAGGACTAAGGATAGAGAGTGGAGTAGTCGAACGCATTGATATCTTCACTTATCTTGGAAGTTTGATCAGCCCTAATGGATCGGTGTCTGACGAAATCTCGTTTGACTTTTGCCAACTTACTTCACTTATGGCGAAGTCGAGATATCCGTCTATCAATTAAGGGACGAGTATACTACGTGGCAGTTTGTTCTATTCTATTTTACGGCTGCGAAACATGGTCATTAAGTGTAGAAGATGCTTGTAAGATATTAGTATTTGACCACAGATGTCTTAGAAATATTGCTCGCATCTGCTGAGATCACTGGATAAGTAACAGTGAGGTTAGACGCATGGTATTAGGGAGTGATGGTACATCAGTTGATGAGGTTGTAAATCTTCATCGACTGAGATGGTTGGGCCACGTGTTACGTATGCCTGAATACGGATTACCACGACGCGCAATGCTGACTAGTGTAGAGGATGGTTGGAAGAAAGTTAGAAGCGGCCACACCAAAACGTGGCATCAGTCATTGAAGTCAGACTTCTAGTCTGAGGCATTTCGGTAGATGGAGACTACCTAGTTGGGGTCCTCATGACTATCGTAATCAAGGGTTGGAGACGCGAACTTAGTAAATAAGTCACATTTTAAAAATAATTCATTAGAAAGAAGTTGATACAATTCCACCAATTGAATTTTCATTGTAACATTATCATTTAATATTAAAATTATACAATGATAGTGAGATATAATCAAGTGTAAATAGATTATAGATGAGAGGTATAATAAAAGAAATAAAAAACTATAATTGTTCAATTGATAAATACTGAAAAAAGACGAAACAAACGGTGAAGAAGAAAAGAGTAAGCGATTTTAAAATCATCGTAGAATAAAAAGGATTCACTTAATCATGTCATTTTTTGAACATTCACACCCAAATGCCCAGGTACGGCTGAGAATGGGGAAAGTCCGCTCTCCCTGCTGAAATGCTCTCACATGGCTACGCGTATATAGCCTCTACCAGGGAAGTCTTATTCACTGCCTTCTCGTGGTGATGGGGGGTTGTTTACGAATTTTGAGAGGACGAAAAGCGAATATCCAACGCTTTAACCGGGTTGGTGAACAGGAACAGTTGGAAAACCCTGATTTCAAACATATGATGCACATGGGCTCCAGTACTCTGAGGGAACAGATGGTGTATGAACCAATCGTTGGTGACCGTCTACCGTGGACTCCATCTGCGTACGAGGCTCCACTGCCTTGTGGATCAGACCTTTAGGTCGAAGGCTCCTGTTGTGGTCCCTAAAGAAAACCATCTGCTTCGGTTTGGGCACCCAGGCTGTATCACAGACCTCAAACAAATCAAATACGATTTGTGTGGTGCATATGTATTTGGTGCCCCTTTGTACCAATTTTTGTGTTTAAATAAATAATAAATAAACAAATTCTCAAAACTTCAGCTTTGAACAATTTTCATATTCTACTTGGATCAAATCGATAACTACTTCTGTCGAACGGAGCGGGGGGGGGGGCGACGATTACATGATCATAATTGATGAGATGTTCCATCATCACAAACATGTTTAGGAAGCGTATAAAATACTTGTGTATAAGCTGATGGTATCCCCTCAGTTGCCCAAACTAAAGTAGATAAAATGAGGTTCGAATACCTTAATAAACTTAGCTACCACTTTATGTAGCCAATACAATCGACCCGTTCCACAAAATTAAGTAAACTGATAGGTACGTATTGAGTTAATGCAGAGTGACAGATTATCAGCTCAACAGTCATGAAAGAAGAGAGAAAACAACAGTAAAAAGAAGTATAAAGACACTTGTATTTTTTCTCGTTCAAACAAATCAATACACACACATATGCACTGGATTTATTGATCCGTATGCGTAAATACGAAAGCCATTAATTGAACAATGACATGTGAATAATATGTATCTTGGACATAAAGCAAAAAAAGGACTAAACGTACACATATGTGTACTGTACCTATATATATATGTGGTGTACAAATTGACTTTTTTCAAGGTGATTCACTGTTTTTCTTTCTCAACAAATGACTAATATATATTCAATATTTAATTAAATTGACCAATTCCTACATATTTCATCATCTTCCATGAAGTTTCTGTTCTTATTTTGTAGCGATTGTAAACTGTGATTTATTAGTATCAGAAGGGATTTTGTAGAGATTCTAGTCATTTGAATAATATTACCGGCGGCCTGTTTGAATATCTGAGCTACCTGTTCCTCCCATCTAGATATTTCGTCAAGTTATCTGTTTTTCTTGTTTGTTTCAACACATTATTATGTCTATTGAGCTCACAACCTATTCAGGCACGTTTATGAAAAGTTTACAACTTTTCGCTGTACGGATTACAAAAAGGTACAACCAGCGACATCATGGTGGCTTGCAATATACATTGAAATGAATGAACATTATTCAGATGTCGATTATCGAACTCCTAACATCTAACTGGCCATCACTCAATATTTATCGTCAGGATCGATCAAGATTTAACAAAAGGAAACTTGTTGAAATACTTTATGCTGAGAATTCAATATTGTACCAAAAATATAATGTTGAATAAAGCTTATAATAATAATAATAATAATAATAATAATAATAATAATAATAATAATAATAATAATAATAATAATAATAATAATGGATATCATGAGTTAATTTAAGCTAGACCATCATAGAAAACCTAGAGGCATTTCGTCCTATTGTGGGACTCGTCAGCAGTGCGTATTCACGACCCCGCCTCCCGCGAGATTCGAGCTCAGGACCTAACAGTTTCGCTCGCGAGCGCTTAACCATTAGACTACCGAGCCGGTTGGCATCGAACAGTGTTAATGTCTAACTTCAACCAATCCATGAAATTGAGGGACATATTCATTATTACTTTCACATTTTCTGGTTATTTAATGCGTATACCATCATAATCATAATGTAGAAACCAATATACAAATGTGAATTGGTTTGGAATCTTACACTAAATTTCACAACAACCAATTAAACTTAGCTAAATGAATAGAAAAGTAATTAGTGTAGTAATAGTAGTAGTATAGATTATATTATTGTTTAATACTACTATTAAAGCTTTCATACTCTAGGAAAAGATAAGAATTGAACATTATCCATCTTAAGAGGATTGATTTTAATTGAACTTGTTTTTAACAGTTATAATCTGAACATCATTTCACTGATAATTGAATAGTATCATCCATCTATTTTTTTATTTTGATGAAGTTTTATTCACTGAGCTTGATAGTTTAGTCGTAGAGCTTTCATCGTTCTTCTGAACAACCTCATCATCATTAGTGGCAGCAGCAGTACAAACTTCAGATAGAAATATCACTGTCATTAATCGTTAAGCCTTATGTATTATAGCTTAGAAGAAAGGGTTTTTCCGTTGTTGTTGTTGTTGTTGTGTCATAATGCACATATAAACTTTTTAATATTAACAATATGAACACTCAAACTGGTCTGAACTAAAGTTCACATTAGAGCGTGAACTAATATTATACAGTTTCATTATTATTTTTCTTTTCTTCCTCCCTCTCCCCCCTCTCTCTCTGTCTTAAATATTACAGTAAATTAAAGTCAAATGATTGACACATTAATAATTAAGTTAAATTGACTTAGTTTCAAAATTCTCGCCCTATTTTTTTCTGTTGTTTTTTGTAATCGATTATTTAAACAGCAACCACCACCACCACAGCAACAACAACAACAAAACCAATACCCATTGATATTTTCACATTTTACAATTCGATATATTTAAAAAAAATATGCAACTCATGAGGGGAAAAAACGTGCTAAAGAATATGGGAGTAAAACTATTGTTGATTGACTTTGAATACTTCTTATTATGATATGATTAACTTGACTAAATATATGAAACTGAATACATTAGCTAATTTTCGTATAATATAAACAGTGTAATATATCTGATTACTTATGTCTGTTAGTTCTCATGGAGGAGTATAGGCCACCCACCAGCATTCTTCATCCAACCCTGTCCTGGACAATCCTTTACAGCTATTTCCAGTTGTTATTCATCTTTTTTATATCTGCTTCTATTTCCCGACGTAATGTGTTCTTTGGTCATCCCCTCCTCCTTTGGCTTTGAGGACTCCAAGTGAGGGATTGCCTTGTGACGCAGTTTAATGATTTGCGTAATGTATATTCTATCCATTTCCATCGTCTTTTTTTTATTTCCTCTTCAGCTGGAATCTGGTTTGTTCTTTCCCATAGAATGTCGTTGGTGGTATCCGAACCATGGATTTTTAAGTATCTTGTGTAGACAACTATGTATAAACTCTTGTAACTTCTTGATGATGGTTGTAGAGTAGTTCTCCAAGTTTCAGCTCGTACAGTAGAACTGTCTTGATTTTCGTATTGAAGATTCTCACTTTGATATTGGTTGACATATCTGACTGAATTATTATTAGAATCAGGAACTAACTTTAGCTAGACTATTGATGAGGAGTAAAAAAATAGTATTTATTATTTATTTTATTTTAACACATAGATATTGGTACAAGGAGGCACCAAATACATATGCGCCACACAGATCTCATTGGATATGTGTGAGCACTGTGATACTGCCCGGGTGCCCAAACCGAAGCAGGTGGTTTCCTTAGGGGGCCACACCCGGAGCCTTAGACCTAAAGGTCTAACCCACAAGGCAGTGGAGCATCGTAAGGAGATGCAGTCCCATGGTAGCTGGTAACCAACGATTGGTTCATACGCCATTTGTTCCTTCAGGATACTGGATCCCATGTGCAACATTGATTTGGGATCCGGTTAAAGCCGGTGCCGGACATTCGCTTTTCGTCCTCTCATTTTCGTAAACAACACCCGTGGTGCGAGAAGGCAGTGAGTAGGACTTCCCTGGCAGAGGCTATATACGCGTGGCCATGTGAGAGCATTTCGGGAGAGAGAGCTGACTCTCCCCACTCTCGGCCATACCAGGGCATTTGGGGGCGTAAAAAAATAGTAGAGAGTTTCTTTTTATATTTTGTTATATTACTCTGAAGCTGTACTTACACACAACTCTATCCAGACATCCAACTAAGTACCCTCAGACTCAACGGTGAACGTGATACTTTTTTAGTTTACTAAATTATCAGGTGGCTATCAGGACTCAGTAGCTAAGTAGATAACACGATGGCGTTAGAAGCGAACGGTACTGGGTTGGAGTCCCGGCGCGAACGTTAATTCTGGGACCCACGTTTATCCAGCTGACGTATCCCAAATAGGACGAAACGCACGCCAAACTGGATTTCACTGCTAGCCACTATCCATCTTTGCCTAATTATCATACTATGGCTTGGATTTCCCATTTGAGACAGTTTGCATTATTTCATGATCATCATCCTGTGAAAACAGGATGATTTTTCTCTAACTCCTGAAATATTCTAACCCCATTGGTTTCTATTTCTTTTTTTACATCAGTAATCCTTTTCACATTTATTCATTATGCAAAATATTTACTTATTTATTGATTTAGGATGTGAATTACAAATTGAACAATTTCCATAAAACCATATGTGTTGTTCTCGGAGATGGATGGTTAATTTAGTTGTTAAGTTTTTATGGCAACACTATAATTTACAAACGACCTTTAAGCAACAATAAAGTAGCCATGAGAATATTCACTTACTTAATAGGTTTAAAAGAAGGTTACAAATTAATACGGGGAATTATGATAGAGATTTAGAGGGTTCGGGTTTTCATCACCAACAGATATCAGTTATAATACCAAAATGCTATTTAATCGTAAGGTTAAATGAATTTCTCCCCACAATCCAAAACTTGCTATCTTAAATCTGATTGCTTCGTCCATAAATTAGTAGTCTTGCCGTTTTCATTTACATTTTGAACATGTCATCATCGTATTGTAGGTTAATGAAAAATTCTAATTGTTCGCTTCTCATTAAAGTACGTGCTAATGATGTCGTGTCTAGAAGAACAATGACAGTTTCATAACCAAGTCAACCAACCAGCTCCAAAGAACACAATACTTCCAATAATTGATGTTTTCCTTAAATTTACATGTTACTTATTTATATATCTATGTAAATGCTTGATGATTAACCGTTTACGATATGGGTTTTTAACTGTATAATGTTTCTTTTTTGTGTTCATGTCTTGTTTATTTATCCTGCAGGCATTACGTCAAATGACAAATGATCATCTTGTTCTTATGATATGTATTACAACATTTTTATCATATTTGCCAGAAGCTGGACAATATTCATGTTTCTTCGTTTATCTTCGCTTAGTAAGTATATATATATATATATGTGAGATATTTTACCGTTACTTTCTTACTATGGAATCTGTAATGGTTAATGTATTGTTGAGGTATTTATTTGAGTATTAGATTCGAACTCCGTGACATGAGGTAGTAAATATCACCCTTTGGCTTGATCATCCCTAGCTTTGCTTTAACTTACTCCTCCTACACTAGCTATCATTGTTCATCAAAGTAGATGGTGGTTGGGCATAAGTAATACTCGCTCCAACCACTATCTCAGCTGATAAAGATTCGTTACCTCATCGATCGATTTAGTGAAGACCCTGACCACTCTAAGCAACAATACAAGCGTGTTGGGCATGCGGTTCTTTCCCTCGAAATGCAAAATGTTGCTTCAGGATTGAGTTGGATCGACACCCGAACTAATGATCGGGAGTGAAGTAGTTGAGCGTGTCGACCGCTTCATTTATCTTGGAAGTCTCATCAGCCCTTGTGATCTGGTGTGTGACGAAATCTCAACACGGATACAGACAGCTCGACTAGCTTTTGCCAACTTGCGTCATTTGTGGCGTAGGCAAGATATCCGTCTACGTTGAATGACATGGCTCAAAATCGTTTTCAATGACGCATGTGCATCCACTCTTTGTGTTCTCTCAAAATGTAATCTTCCGAATTCTTCATGTCCTTTATTTTCTTTCCAAATCTATTCCACTGGACCATGCTCCTTAAATAACATCATCAAACTTTAATGTTCTCTATTAGTACTTATACTTTGACTACCTCTACCACTACGGGATTTGAATCGATAACTGAATCGGTGTGCTAATGTGGTATGGTAAAACAAATCTTGACTTAAATAATTACGTTATGTAATATTTTTGTCATATAATAGAAAGTGTGGATGTAATCTGAATTCAGTTACAATACTCACCAGATTTCAATACCAATATGGTTAATTACATGATAAAATAATCTTCGAAAATTCTTAATAAACAAGTTTGTTTACTATGGCTATTCCTTACTCTTACAATCAATCACCTCATTCTAATGTAATTGAATCTCGCGGGTTGCAGGATCATGGATGCATACTGTTGAAAGAGTAGTCCCATACTAGGACGAAACAGTCGTTTAGTGCCTTTAGGTTTTCCATGATGGTCTAGCTTCAATTGACTTATGATTTCAACTATTGAAATTATATAAGTGTTTTCAACTCATTTTGTTATTCTGCAATATGGATTGTGTCATGCATTATTAGTCAATTAATTTGTTAAGCATATATAATAATAATAATAATAATAATAATAATAATAAATGTGATACAATTACAGTGATTGTACTGTAACTATGCACAAATTGTTTTGCCATAACACCAAGCATTCTATACCTTGTTATATCGTTTTTTTTTGTGTAAAATTTACTTATGCTCATACATATGGATATCAATCTTAAAGAAATTACATTTCTAAATGATAAAATAAAAGATACTTATGTATGAGAACATGTATATGTACCTATACATAGATAGCTCTATGGACAAAAGATGTCTTATATTCTACTAAGAAATCTATACAATTTAAGTTGAATAGAATTGTTTTAATTCATCATTATTGTTATTGTCATTTATTTTGTCCATAAATCCATAAGCAACATAGTTACTATCAATCAATCAATCAATCAATAATGTGTTTATCATTTACAAACACTTCTTTTTTTTTTCTATGATTATAATCATGGTTTTTTTTTTTTTTAATTGTTAACTTTGTCAATCGAGAGTATTGTTTGTTTGTGTTGTTTTGTCTTTGTTATTAAGTTATTTATTTTTTTCTCTCGTTAGAATCCTTCCAAAGTTAGTGTCCTTTTCAAGTTTGGATAGAAGAGAAGGGTCGGGTATAGGATTAACATCCCTATTCCTTAGAAAAAACGTTAACCAGAATAAACAAATTAAACTATTTAAACTATGTTATTCGAGTTGAAGGATCTTCATTCAGAAGTATAAATGATGCTTCATGATGAAAACTGAGATTCTTTGAAAGTCTCAAAGTCGATACCTATTTCTGATAGCCAGAGCAACAATTAATATTGGTACATGAAATGTCCGGAAAATGTTGAAGACTGATAGGATCAGTCAAATAACTGCGAAAATGTAAAGATGCAACCTTGACGGTGCTCAGAATAAGAAAAATCCACTAGACACAAGCTGGATAAAAACAGTTAATTTTGGGAAAGATGCCTTTGTACTGTGGCCATGAAAAAAGAAGATGCTCCGCATGCGCAGAAAGTTACTCTCATACTGTCCAAAGTAGCAAGTAAAGCACTTATTGCGTGGGAATCTCATGCATCCAAAATCACCCAAGCATCTTTTGAAACAAAAAAAAAGGCAATCACTATGAATTTTATCCAATGTTATACATCCAATATTGATTGCAAAAACGACGATAGAAATAAGTTTTACGAGAGACTGCAATCAATCATAGCGAAATGCTCAGGAAAGGACCTGACAATCCTGACGTACAAATGCACATACAAAGCTACATGGATCATATTAGAGAGAATCAAACCAATCATATTTACATCACTGAAAAATTCAGGTCAGTGGAAGAAGAAGGATTGGGAGAAGAGCTAACATAGCTTCAGACCATCACCTGATGGTTGTCATGATTTAACTAAAGTTAAAGAAGCACTAGACAAACAGCATTACTTCGAAATACTGACAAACTTAACGAAATCAAGCTAGTTCTCTGCAAAGCCTTACAAGATCTACTGGAAGAAGAAAATACAATAGAGGATAACCGGAAAAGGATTAAAGAAACATTAACTTCAGCGTTCTGGGAGGTGCTTGGCCGCAAAACGCATCATCACACGGGACGGATCTCTATCGAAACCCTGAACAGGATTCAAGAAAGGAAAAACAAGAGGACAGCTATTAGAAACAGTCAAACAAGATAAGAGAAATACAAGATATCTCTGTATCACATTGTCACTGCTAATATCAGGATTCGAACCCAGTAGTATTCACTGCAAATGAAAACCCGTTTTTTCATGGAATCCAGACAGCTAATAGCTTGTGCATTTGGTAGTAGTTGTATTTATAAGAGTTTGTATTTCCTCATAATTGATAGTAAGAACGGCTACTAATCATTGATCTTTTAGCATTCATAGATCCTAAGCGGATAGTCTTGATATTGCCATTTAGTCCCAATTTTTTAAATAGATTTTCATTCTGGTTAGCTGTAGAATCTAAGAAGCGAGTTTTGTTCTGTCTGAGACTAGTCGACTAAATATACATGCATTCTAATGTTAATGTTAACACTGGATTTCAAATTTTCTAACTCTCACTTTAAAAACTCGACATTTTATCCACTGGATTATACAAGCCGTAACAAACAACCAGATAATATTAATTTAAAGTGCTCCAATAACTGGTAATAAGTAAACAATTCTATTCAGAAGATAATACATTGCATCCCTATCAGGGATACCGAAGAAATGGTCAGTAGTAGTGTTATATTTTATATTTCAAATTAATCGTGTTGTATTGTTTCACTATTTTTTTTCCAATAAAAATAATAGGTCATGGGATTCACGGAAGAAAATGTGGCACTATTCATTGCTGTTGTTGGTATCATGTCATGCATTGCACAAGTAAGTATAATTTTCTACCTTATGATCATAGAATTACAACTACTATCGAGAAGTAGTAACTAACCCTCAAGATGTCACTTGTGTTTAGCCAATCTAGTCACTTGATGTGATTCTGAATCTTCATCGCTTAAAATGTCTAAGATATGTATTACATATGCTCAACCATCATCTACGTCGACTTAGTCTGTAAGAGTGGGTTGACAGGAAAATAGGGCTGGTCAAACTTTACACATGACATCATTCCCTGAAGCCATTCACTGTTTTTTAAATATATTATCAGCTGAAGACTACCTTTTTGTGAGTGTCGCAACTATTTTGATCAATATTTAAGGACGTGGTTTACAGAGGTTTAAAAATAGGCCGTAATAGTGTATATGTATTCAATATTCATCTTCTTGTAGATTTTCTTTTTCTTTCAACATACATTCCATATATACATACATTTTCATTCCGTCTTATCAAAGCAAACTCTTAATATTCAATCTTCCTCATTATCATTCCAACTACATTACTTCGACTTCTTTACTTGTCATCTCTTCATACTGATGTTATGTATTATGATCTGGGCTAATTCCTATCTTATTATAGTTGTTTGCAAATAAGACGAAATACATTATCCAGAGTGAACATCAACTCTGAGATTTAGGTACATCCAACTGACGAGTCCCAAATCAGACGATACGCGTCCTGGATTCCACCGCTGATCACCATCCATCTTTGCTTATAGCGCCTGTGAATTATTTATTTTAACACATAGATATTCGTACAAGGATGCACCAAATACATATGCGCCACACAAATCTCATTTGATATGTGTGAGGGCGATGATACTGCCCGGGTGTGCAAACCGAAGCAGGTGGTTTTCTTAGGGGGCCACAACCCGAGCCTTCGACCTAAAGATCTGACCCACAAGGCAGTGGAGCATCGTAAGGAGATGCAGTCCCATGGTAGCCGGTAACCAACGATTGGTTCATACACCATTTGTTCCCTCAGGATACTGCAGCCCATGTGCACCCTTGATTTGGGATCCGGTTACACCGCCAGACATTCGCTATTTGTCGTCTCAATTTCGTGAACAACACCCCCGCCACGAGAAGACAGTGAATAGGACTTCCCTGGAAGAGGCTATATACGCGTGGCCATGTGAGAGGATTTCGAGAGGTTGAGAGGACTCTCCTCACTCTCGGCCATACCAGGGCATTTGGGGGGCTGTGAATTAAGTCAATATCGAAGCAGTATGCACAGACTAATCAATTGCAGTCTAAAACCTTAAAAACAATACCAATTTAATTCAGATTATCCAATGTTTCGTAATTAGTCTTTACTTCATAAGAAGAAAACTTCTATAGAGTTGTTGATAAGAATTAATCATTACTTTAAGCTTATCATAAAACTCTTTTGATTTATCTTTTTTCATAATGATTCATGTTTAAGTATTTGTTATCGGGATTTTTATAATTAGTACATAATAATCGTACCACATTTTTTTTATTCAGTGAATACTTCAATATATAGGACTGTGTCTATCAATACCTGTACAACAACTATAACATGTAATATCCTGTTATATCATCACTCTTTCTTTCTTTCTCTCTCTCTCTCTCTCTCTCTCTCTCACACACACACATACACTCACATGTTGCATTCACATAGAAAATGTATTTAATGAATGCTTAAGTAAGCGATTAAGTGAGTAAGTGAGTGATTGAGTGAATAAGTGAAAAACGGATTGATGAACGTAAGAGACTAGTAGTAACAAAGTGTGAAAATAAACATCATTAAATTCAATACATACATTATTGTTTGTTATTGCTACTATTGATTGAATTTTAGTCATGGTGATGAAGATGCAATAAAAGAAGGATTTCACCATTAATGTCATATATTCATAATAATAATAATAATAATAATAATAATAATAATAATAATAACAATAATAATAATAATAGTGATCTGATTAACTCTGAATATTGTTTATATAATTCTTGTTATTATTATATCTTGTTTACCCAGTAACTATTTTCAATAGTAACTAACGAAAAATGTATTCACCTATCTATTATTATTTAGTGTATTACTGTGTGTGTGTGTGTTTTCTTTTCTCAATCTATCATATCTTAATAGATATGAATGTTATAGAATAAATCACTAATATGGTACGATTATATTTGTTTTTTTTAAATATTTTTCTAATGTTTTATCAAAAGTTTTTTAGTGTTACATTAAGAATTGATCATTTTTTATGATCTTATATTATCTCTTGATCGAATCACTTGAGATATACTTCACTGATACAAAAATACTTTATACTTATCAGACAAAATTGATCACCCGACCGTTGTTGCTACCTTGACGTGGTGGTCGGGCTTGCCTATCGTGATGAAGCAACTGAGCTATACTGGCTGGAACAACTGTTCCTCAAGGTCCTACCATGCCAGACAGGTCGGTTGAAGAGCAGTAAGACTGAAAGCAACAAATCCAAGGTCCGAAGGCGAAGTCGTACTGCTGACTGTACAGAGGTGTGACAGCAGTAAAGTATTTCCTTCAGACAACCAACATAACAGAGATGCTGCCTTTCCACAAGGAGGGGTGGAGTTAGAAAAGGTCGACCCCAGAAATGCACACCTCGCTTTATTCTACGGATCTGCGTCTCCGGCGGTAATGTCTTGACAAATACGGAGCTAACACTAAAACTACTCATAAAAAGGTCGTGTGTTACCTATCTGAAGCAGCTGTCCCTTCAGCACTCAGGTCACTATGACCACTTCTAATCCAATTTATTTTTCAGGAGAACCCTTCCACGGTGTGGGCAACCGGGAAGTGATAACCTCCCTCATACGTCTAACAGCATTCAAGACCACTGTATTCATAACCGACCTCCCAACCCCAAATTGATCTTTATTTTATCTAATGATCCAATTTGATTAACAATAATAATCACAAAAGAATCCCCTTATTTTTATTACTCCAGGATTTAGATTCCTTCTATCCTGGTAGTAGTTAGTCATGAGTTGAATACATCAAGTAAATAAAACCCTGTATATTATAATATGTATAATATTCATGAATCCATAAGCCTACTAATTGCTTGATTATGAAGGGCTACAAATAGGGAATGATAGTTTATACAATAGCTCAATTATAATGTAGTAATTGTTTCATAGAATTCTTCAAATAATTACTTTGGTTATTGAGATCCATTTTTGTTTCCTTCCAATTACTCAATATTATTTTATAATCAATATGACATTATATAACTATTATGTTACATAACTACTTGTTAAGTACTTCATTGTTGTAAATCCATACAAGAGATATTTCCTGGAGTTCTAGTGAAAAGTAGTGACCAATGGAGTTAAACTGAGTCTGTTATGAGACAACAACTCAATGAAAACAGTGATGGATGGGTCACTCAATTTCGTGGATTAGTTGGAGTTAGATATTAACACGGTTGGATGCCGGCTCATTAGTCTAGTGGTTAAGCGCTCGCGCGTGAGACTGATAGGTCCTGAATTCGAATCTCTTGGGGGCGGGATCGTGGATCCGCACTGCTGAGGAGTTCAACAATAGGACGAAACGGCTATGAAGTTTTTCTAGGTTTTCCATAGTGGTCTAGGTTTAATTGACTCACGATCTCAACTATTAAAATCATAATGAAGGACTAATTGAAAAGAAATATCTTTGTTCTATTCGTTCTTTTTTTTGTAATAATACATTTCAAAATGAGAATTTTCATTATAAACTTTAAGTAATACAAACTTAAGTAATTGATTCGTAATTCATTTTCAATTGTTTATGTTAAATAATCACGTATTTAAAATCTAAACTCTGATTTTTGTACCGATTTTTTTCTATCTCATTTGTTGAATGTTTCATTATTATGTAGAGCCATACATTTTTATTACCTCTCTCTCTATCTCTCTCTGTTTTTCTGTGAACTGCAAATGTCACCGATACTCATATCATTTCATGAATTTCGATAATGTAATAAGAAGACGAAGATGATCGTTTTCTTATTACACTACAGCTACATAACTGTTGGTTGTAGTGTGAGTGATGAGATCGATTCGCGTATAGTGAAAGTCAGAGCGGCTTATGCCAATCTGGGCCATTTTTGGCGCTTTCGTGCTGTTAGTCTGGCTGTAAAAGTCGGATCTCCAACGCGTCGGTGAGAGCAGTTTTACTCGATGCTTGTGAAGTCTAGTCTCTTCGAGTTGATGATATTAGACGACTCTCTGTGTTCGATCATCGTTGTCTCCGAAGGATTGCTGACATCCAGTGGCAACATCATGTTAGTAATACAGAGATTCGGCATCGTGTGTTCGCGCGCAGAAACAATAATCCAATTAGTGTCACCATCCTGAAACATCGAATTTCGTCCCAGAGAATCCCATGTCGTGCAGTATATACTGACGCTGGGACTAGTTGGAAAAAGCGGAGAGGTGGTCAGTGTATGATATGGTTTCGTGGTATGAAATAAAGTTACAAAGGGCTGGCTGGTTGTAACTTCCTTAATTGAAAGAATGCTTTCTGATTGTACCTTTCCGTTTCCCTCATTATTATTATCATTATTATTATTTTTATTATTATTATTATTATTATTATTATTATTATTATTATTATGACTGCCATACACTAATCTGTGGTGGTTATTGTTCTCTTTTTTTCTTCTCACTTATATGCACCTTACATTCTTTATCTCTTCCCATTTTCATTGTTTTGTGTGGCGCAACTCGAACTGATGTATGTACGTACGAAGTTCCACGTTGTTAATGACTGACTGACTGACTGATTGGTGCCCCCTTATACCAATATTTATATGTTCAAATAAATAAATTTATCAAAGGGATTAATTACTTTAAATATCATCAATTGTCTATAATCAATTGACTAAATATATCGACAATAAAGTATAGACTATATGGAAAGTAACTAGTGGAAAATATACTTAATGACCTAATTATAATATCTATTACTTGTCATTATCATAATAATAATAGTAATAATAATAATAAAAACAATAGCAACATTGAACAGTTTTATTCATTGTTCAGTAATCTTTTTTCAATGTCTTTATTGTTATTTTATGCTTTGTGTGTGTGTGTGTGTTTGACAGGGAGAGAGGGAAGAAGAAAGAAAGTCTATATGTATCACCAATTTTTTCGACGTATATTATTTTTCCATCATATTGATAACACATATCCTATCCATCGCATTCGTTCAGGATTCACTACCTCGTTAACTGATTTTGCATAATTACTTAGTTATTCATATGCCTGAAGGTATAAGTTTGAATGTTGGCTTAGTGGTTTAGTCGTTGGACTTCCAATCACTTAGTCTTAGATTCAAAATCCACTTCCCTTCGGTCCCAGTCAGTCAATTGTAAGTAACATTGTACCTGGTTCATGTGTACATTGGTTTATGCTTCTGCATCACAGCGAGATGAAATTTTCGTTGGAAATCAGAGTAATAGATGTGATAGAAATATTGCCCCCAAATGCCCTGGTATGGCCGAGAGTGGGGTGGGCCCGCCCTCCCTCTCGAAATGCTCTCACACGGCCACGCGTATACAGCCTCTGCCAGGGAAGTCCTACTCACTGCCTTCTAGTGGTGAGGGTGTCGTTTACAAAAATGAGAGGACGAAAAGCGAATATCCGGCGCTGTAACCGGATACCAAACCAATGGTGCACGTGGGCTGGCTCCAGTATCCTGAAGGAACAAATGGAGTATGAACCAAACGTTGGTCACCGGCTACCATGGGACTACATCTCCTCACGACGCTCCACTGCCTTGTGAGTTAGACCTTTAAGTCAAAGGCTCTGGGTGTGGCCCCCTAAGAAAACCACCTGCTTCGGTCTGGGCACCCGAGCAGTATCACAGCCCACACACAAATAAAATGAAAATTTGTGTGGCGGATTTATATTTGGTGCCCTCTTATGATAAAAATATTATTGGTAATAGAAAGATTCGACATTGGATATACGATTCGAGAAGAAAATATAAATTACTCATATAATAAGAGATTTATCAGAGTTTCTGAAGCTCGAGATTTGAAAGAAGACAAATAGTGAATGCACCTATGTGATTGCGAATGATTTAGACCCATAGCCCTCAAAGTTTCTAATTAGGCGTTATGATAGTCACATGGACACGTAACCAGGTAGTTTACATCTACGTACATGACCAATTCCCAGCAGTCAATGTCTCCATGGTCTGATACTATGTTTTCATTTGCCTGATTGTACCTTTGTTTTAAATTCTACTTCAGTTTACACAACTGGTTAGTATCAATAGCCTTCACAATTTATGTATGATACATGTCGCATTACCTGATAAATGAGTTAATCTCTTTTTCTCTTGTTTTTTTTTCTTTTCTATATTAACAGACACTTATTTTATCTTTATTAAATCGTATTATGCGACCAAAACGTGTTATTATATTTGGTTTAATATTTGAAGCGATTCAATTAACACTATATGGTTTTGTTACAAATTCTGGCTTATTATGGTCAGCTGGTTTAATTGCTGCTACGGGCTCTATCACATATCCTGCTCTAAGTACATTTATATCAACTCATGCTGCAGCAGATCAACAAGGTGTAGCACAAGTAAGTCAATTATCATTGATTATTATCAGATTCTCACTAAATATAAAGTTTTCGATTATCATGATTTGATAACATTCACTGATATATAATATTCGAGTTTCAACCATTTAGTCATAGGTTCGAACCCCACTCCGTCTATTTTGGTTTCAGTAATTGAGTAATATAGTACCTACGATGTCGGGTCACTTAGACTGGTGGCCACATTGAAACTTTATTGATATAATTCGATTCGTACTAAGGAGTTGATGTACATGACATTGGTCACTACCCAGTGATCAATTAGTTGTAAACACATCTCAATCATACAGGAGGTGGTAACGCCTCTGACTGTGAATCTATGTGGCACAGGATCAAATCCTGAAGGAAGTATCAGTTCTCTCAAGATAACGAATTCGCCTTGGTGATAAGTGTCAAATACCATGAAACGTAGTTTCAGGGTTCCATGTCGACTACCTCTAGCCACACTACCTTACACGGAGTAACATCTTTACCCCTCATATTTCGATTGAGAATTCTAATCAACCATCTGTTAAGTGAGTTAATTATTAATTTAAATTAACATTCACTAACAAAAGGTTTATTTCTAACTAAAAGTTGCAAAAAATATGGTAAGAGGTAAATCTTATCTATTTTTGAATGCTACATGCACTCATTAGGTAATTAACGAAAACTGTCCGCGGAAATTATTGTGAATGCATTACTTTGTTGAAGCCTAGTGTAGATATGGAAAACATGGGTATCTTTTAAATTGTATATGATTTTAAAATCCTAGATCTTTTTAGCAAACATGTGAAAATTAATAGCAAAATCGATAGTTATTCAGTCGGGACGATGAAGACAATCCTTTGTTTCTTAGAATTGTATTTGAAGTTTAAAAAGAACACCGATCGCTCGATGTATTATCTGTATTTTCGTAGTTTCTAAGAACGCTTTCGAGGAATTATTATTTCTAAGTCAGTGAACTCAACCTTTAGACAGACTGTATTACTCCATATCTAACATTACCGTGATAATTACGCAATAAGGATCAATTTATAATTGTCCTCATTCCAACCTTCTTGAAATAGTTGCATCCCCTAACAGTCACAGTTGAATTTGGGTATCCATCAGTACTGTTTTCTTTAACTTAAAATCTGAATTAATTCACTATGCTCTTTGTAATTGTCAGGGTCTTATCACTGGAATACGAGGTTTATGCAACGGACTTGGACCTGCTCTGTTTGGGTTATTCTTTTATATATTTCGGGTAAGTTGTTTAAATTGCTGAGTTTTTTTTTTTAACAAACTAAATTACATTTTATTCATTGGTTGAGGACGTTGAATTAGAACTATTGCATTTATTCTTTCTTCCCTCCATTAAATCTTGAATTCCCCTGTTTCTTCGTTCATACATTTTTATCACGTCTTCTAGAAACATTTTCCCAATACCTAGCCTTTCTTTATCGTTAAACATCACAATTATCTCGATGCCCGTGTTATTGATCCTGCTAATTTCATCTCACCGTACTAATATGGCACCACAGTATCTTGGGGGAACGCATATATTATGCCACGCTCCACATTAACAACCACTTGATACATTGAGATGGTGCATAAGATTTGTAGTTCAGGTGGATAATTTTGATAGAGTTATGTTCTCTGAGCATAAGATGAATGTGAAGTGTTTCATCAGTAGTATACAACAACATTACATCGTTATTGACGAAATACATGTCGTTTTAATAATAACTATTATAACCAAAAAGAACTGTCATTAGTAAGTAGTGTATATAAAACATTGGTATCTTATGTGTGTGAAGTATATCTACAAAGTTCTGTTTTAAAATGGTATAGAATGCCACACCTTTTCTTTGAAAGGTAAATATATGAAGAGTTTTATCCGTTATAGTACAATTTTACATGTAACATCACTTACGTGATTATTATTAATCATTTTCTTATGATTGATGTGCATTTAATTTGTAACCCAAACATACTGTTACATCATGCTCAGATATTTTATTGATTTTATGATTGTTACCCAGTCAGTCAAATGTGACATAGAATCTTGTTACATTTATGCATCAGTTCAAGTTCCCACACTACAGAAAGATGAGACAAATCTCAGAATATGAATAAAGAAACAAAAGTAAATGAGATTTCGAGATTCAGCATCTAAGAGAATACATAACGTGAATCCACTTGAGCTATCGGAAACGATTTTAATCCATTTCATCTCAGATCTCTAACTATTGGTTAGAATAATCATACGAACTGCTAACCAGGTAGTGTGCATCCACTTGATTCACTCAACTGATATATCAGTCACTTCATGAACTGATGCCACGTCTTGGTATGATCACCCTTAGCTTTCGTTTAACCTAATTCTATGCCAAATAAAATCATCCGTCGAGATAGGCGTTAGTTGGTCTTATGTAACACATGCCACATCCATTTTAATTGATAGTGATTCATTACTTCATCTACCGATTTGCCATCTTTACAAAATGTTCCTAGCTCTACTTGAGACAGCATTATAAACTCCAGTATTTTCTCGGTTATAAGAAGACTGCGAAATGTTAACTTTCCTGAAAAGATAAGCTATATGAGTGTTAATTCACTTGATATTGTTTTTTGTTTGTTTGAATCTTCCCATTGATGTTTAGGACTGAAATTGTTCAGTCTCTTATTGGCATATGTGCATACTGTGCGTATGCCTCGATATTGCCTTAATTTACAAGCATTATAAGCAAAGGTGGATAGTGGGTAGCAGTGGAATCCAGGACGCGCGTTTCGTCCTATTTGGGACTCGTCAAGTGAATTAAACTTCACCCCATTGCACAAGCAAGTGGCTATCAGGTCAGTCAGTCAGTCAGTAACAACGTGGAACTTCGTACGTACGTACATCAGTTCGAGTTGCCATACCACATTAGTACAGAGATTCAGTTATCAATTCAAATCCCATAGTAGTAGAGTAGCTAAGTGGATAACGCGATGGCGTTTGAAGCGGACGGTACTGGGTTCGAGTCCTGGAGTGAACATCAACTCTGAGATGCAGGTACATCCAGCTGACGAGTCCCGAATAGGACGAAACGCGCGTCCTGGATTCCACTGCTAGCCACTATCCACCTTTGCTTATAATATATGAGTGTTAGCCTATTTTCTCCTTATCTTGGAGTCATCACTTGTTCAGTAGTGTTATATTGTGTATTCATCAAATAGGTATGGTTATCCATCGAACATATCCAAGATATATATGGACCATAACTACTGCTTACGTGTTTCTCTTCATCTCGTTGATATTCTTATTTTAAACATTCTTCAATGAATAAGCTTCTCTTCAATATTACAGATAAAAACCTTTTCTACTTCATAGCCAGACTAACTGATACCTTTTTTCACTAGAGAATAGTACTATTCTACCTAATTATGTTTAAGTCAAGTTAAATTTTTGACCTGTTCTGTTATTCTCTCTCTCTTGTGTTCTGTAAAGATTGACTTTCTTACTATATAATTGATCATTTTTTGTGCTACTCGTTTCTCTCACTGTTTGTATGTCAATTTCATCGTGTGTTTTTGTGTATTCCTTTATTGGTATCAATTTTAATCTAGGTAGATTTTGCTTTCTTAAAGATGATTCTATTAGAATGTAGAAAATGATGGAGTCTATTGTCGGTTGTTTTTCCTTTCAAGTATAAATACTATGTTTAAATGATCTCTTTCTGATTAGTGTTTTTTAGCGAGTTAGTTTTCTATGAGATGGGGTCACAAACCCCATGCCCAACCCTCCTTCTTTATCCGGGCTTGGGACTGGCAGTAAATCTAGAAAAGCTATAGGCAAAGTTCACTTGACTTTCGACAGTACTTTTCATGTATAAACAGTTAGGGATACTGATTAGCTACCTCTAGTCTGTAATCGTTATGTTGAGACTTGAGGCCAGTAGAATGCTGATTGCTTATTTGCTATTGCTCCACTACCGTTGTAATTAGGATACGAATCTGCTCAAGTCACCTCTTTCTATGTATATGTAAGAGAGTGTTAGTTTCAAACCATTCAAATATCAAAAGTAAGCTAAATATAGTGAGATTCGTACATACAGCTGAGATATAATCGATTGTGTACACTATGCAATATAATTCTGTAAAATTATGTATTTTGTGAAGTTTTTTGTAATTATTTGCTTCTTGTTTTTGAATGATGTTTTCCTGTTTGTGTATGGTATGCAGATATTACGCTCTTGGAGTAGATTAAGGCTTGTTTTTTTTCAAGACGACCGGTAATCTGTTAGAAAAAGGTCGAATATATCACCTAACGCTTCTATCCTACTATGTAAACTGACAGGCTATTGTAGGCGTATTATTCTTACCATTCACCTATCCTAAGCCACTCTCTTTATTCTCCTATCTGAATTGATTTGAATACATTTGTATTAGTATGAATTGTCAGCATGCTTGTCTGAATTTCGACATTAAATTTCTTTGCAAAGTTTGTATATCTAATCGATTGGTTAGTCAAGCATTAAGAGCGTGATAATGATTAAATCGGATCATAGATAGTCATTATCAAAGTCGAGTCCGGCAAAAATGTATGTTAGTTTAAGTTGCCGTACTATATTAGCACGAAGATATGAACAGCAAAGGAGATCTAAATAATGTAGTAATATCAATAATGAGAACTAGTCAACATTGGAAATATGGTTTAAAAGAAAATAGTGGGTTGTTGTACATGAAGAAATACTGAAATTCTGCATAAAGAGGAAGATAAAAAGTAAATACTTCTGTTCCATGTCACTAAGGCTCTCGAACTATTGATCTCAGTCAGTCAGTCTACATCTACTAACATGACTGAGACAGTGACTTCATGGATTAATACAATATCTTCTTTTAACCACCTCTAACAACTGAGCATAGAAAATATTACATAATATTATGAGTATAAGAAACTTGAGTATAAATTTGATTGAATAATGTCACAGTATTTAAATTATTCAGTGTATTGGAGATATTAAGGCGAAACAATGTATTTTTAACATCTCTATGAATGAATTTAAAGTAAATCAATCGAACGTTTCACCTGGTAATTTGGTCTAAGCTTTTTTTTTTCAAGGAAATATCATCAAAATGATCAAATATAAATATGTACATGTTTCTCTCTAGTTAACTATATACTAAATAGGTCATCTAATCACACCATATGTCTTTTATATCTTAAAACTACTAATATGTACTTTAAATGATGTTAACGTTGATTGAATATGACCTATTTAGTAGTATATATAGTTAACTAGAAAAGCATGTACTTATTTATATTCGATCATTTTGATGTTTGATTATATTTCCTTTAACATCATGAATCATTTGAAGTTAGAGCACCATGGAAAACCTGGACTCATGATCTTAACCATTGAAATTACTATAATCTCCATAAAACCCACCTGATATTAATCAACATATGCTTACTAGGGACTGATTTCAAGAGGTATATCCTGGAGTTCCAGTGAGAAGCATTGAACAGTGGAGTTCAACCGAGTGAGATAATGACTCAATGAAGACAATGGTGGATGTGTCGCTCAATTTTGTGGATTAGTTGAAGTTAGACATTAATACTGTTGAATGCCGGTTTAGTAAGTAGTCTAGTGGTTAAGCACTCGCTCGTGAGACTGATAGGTGTTGGGTTTGAATCTCACGGGAGGCGGGATCGTGGATTCACACTGTCAAGGAGGAGTTCATGGTGGTCTAGCTTAAACTGACTCATGATCTTAAACATTGAAACTGAATTTCACATGGTTAATTTCTTTCCACAATTCGGTTATGTATTTTCCATGTTCCAATGTTACTACTTAATACAAATCAGTAGGTTAACTACTACTCACTACTCTTAGTTTTTTTTTCTTGCATATATTTATTTTTCAATAAATTTCATTGTACTAAAATAAATCTATTAGGGAACATTTTCTAAAATTGATCATTTCAACTACTTAACTAATTGATCTATCAGTTCTTCTTATTTTAATCATTCATCATTATTATCTTAGTATTATAAATAACAAAGGAAACATTCTTATTTATTTTGTAGATAATGTTATTTAATAACCATAAGAGAGTAGATCAATTTTCGAAATATTTCCCCTCTCTCTCTCTCTCTCCCCCTCTAGTAGTGGTAGTAGCAGTAACAGTAGTTGTCATCGAAACATAAATTTACGATTATTGATTTGAACCCTATAAACAACAACGAAAATTAATTTTTACTAGTTATCTCATTCTTTA